TTTTTTTTTTTTTTTTTTTTTAATGTAAATCTGGAATTGTCATTCCTAATCTTCAATGAACTGTAATCTTTCTAAAAATTCAGTTGAAAAACTTTGGGAAGCAATTGAAAAAGGGGAGGAGGGTTATATTATAGAGGGAAAAAGAGAATTGTTGTTTGTGAACATTGATTGAGGTTCATTATGGCCCATTATTAGCTCCTTAAAGATGATCCCAGCCTATTGCATATGCTCACAAAAGTAGTGGGAATGAGTTCAACCAAATTATGTGGATAATTGTCAGTTCAGTACTGTAACAGGTTCACAGCCTATCCATAAATGATCGTTAAACATAAACGTTGACAATACAAACTTTTAAATGTAAACTGTAAAGCAGGAGTTTGACACCCTGAGAATAAAAGGCAGGGTAGATTTGCAATTTGTAGACTAATTGAGTTAGAAATAGATATAAGCTTTTGTGAACGGGATCTCACTTCATCAGATGGTGTGAGACCATGTGCACAGAGCAGTGTATAGAATGGAGAAAGTGATTTGAATATAAAAGGTAGGAAGGAAGTGTGTTAGGGAAACAGCTGTTAGAATGAGAATTAAACTGTGGGCTCACATTATGAGTATAGCCTACAGATCTATAAATCCCTAAAAGAAAATATTAATAATAGCTCTTATATGGCATTTCTGTTTTAATAAATGACTTTAACATCAGATTTCTGCTGGGTTGTTGGCCTCTTTTACAGTGATTGCCATTAAAAAGTCAATATTTACCAACAAGTACTTTGCATATGTAGACAATATTGCCAGCATTTATTCCCCATTGTGCCCTAAAATTTCCATGGTAATTGGTGGTAAGTATTGATTTTTGCTTTTGCCCCTCTTGGTCTGGGTTAGATGGGCATTTTTGTCTTTTAGAAGATTAGAAACCTATTATCAAATTGTAAGAAGGGAAGCGAGCAGCTGTCTCTTCTTAGAAACTAGGGAAGGTTGTTGGGAGTCTGTTTATGTAGTTTTTATATTTTCTTCTGTTTTCTGAGTTTGTTTTTGGTTTTTTAGAACTACTTAGGGATAGATCTTAATACAGGAATTGCATGGACACTGACTTACTGATTGATGTTCTCATAATAAGGATAGGTAGTTGTGTTAGTCTTAAGTCAGGCAGAAAGTAAGGTAGATTTGAACCTTATGAACTAACTGAATCGATGCATAAGCATTCATAAGCAACTTACTTCATTGGATGCTATCACTGTTTGTGAAAGCTTATGCAGTTCTAATTTAGTTGCTCTATGAGGTGAAAAACGACTGCCTTTTGCCTCACAACAGCAGATGGAAACCTGTTGTCTATGTTAATTCACTTGGATCTGTAGCAATATAAATACCATTTACCATATCTATGGATCTTGGCAGGAATAGATATAGTAGCTTTGCTCTTCTTTCTAAGAGAAACCCTACTCATAGGATTTACTCACTGGTGTTCTTACCAAGTCTTAGTCTTTTAGCTTCCAATTCAGTATGGAGATGTGAAACTTTGGTGAAATATCATCAATGTGATTCTGGAATTTAGTTCTGTGCTCCAGTATCATTGGTGTGCTTGTTTCTATTACTTAGTAATTGGCCAAGGTTAGGACTTGAATGGGAACTAATTGATAGAAGTTCATTTAAAGACATAAAATGATATTGGCAAGATGTTACAAACGGGCAAAAGAGATCATGGAAGTGAGTTTCCCTCTCCCTCCCAGATATGGAATGTACCAGCCTTTCAATTATTAAATTGCTTAATGTAGGCAATCTGTTGGATCTAGATTTGACCCAAATACTAAATGAATACATTGCTTTAGTTTCCAATCAGGATGATGATGCTGACCATGGGAATAAAGGCAGGATGACTAATGGGAATAAGCACTTAGAAAAAAATGTACTACATTGGAGGTATAAACAAAACTTAAAAAGCTTTATGCACTCAAATTGATGACATCAGATAATCTCCATCTCATATTGCTGAAGGAACTAACACCTGAAATTGCAAGTTCAGTGGCAAGGATTATGATGAATGTGTCCAATCAGATGCAGTACCTTCTGATTGGGGAAGAGTAAGTATAATATCTATATTGAAGAAAGGGGAAACAGTCATCCAGGCAACTACATGGCTGGTATTATACAAGATTTTAGAAACAAATTTGGAAGGAGAAACGTGGAGGAAAATGGGGCAAAAAGGCAACACGGGTATAGCAAAAGTAGATGCTGTCAAACTAACTTGATATTTTCCATGTCTAGAAAATCAGTTCGCTGAAGGATATAGGGTTAATCTAACCTAAAATTTACATGGAAATGTATCGGGGACTGTAGATTTTAGTGCAAGAACTATAATGTCGCTAAAGGAACTAGCTAAAAAGAGAACAATAGGTTAAGCAGAAAGAAGAATAATTGTGCAGAGAGATGTTGCTAATGGAGTTTCTCAATTAGTTCTTCAGTAGAGAAACTAATCTCATTTAATATTTTAACTAAAGCCATTGGCACAAAAAATGGGGTCTGCTAATGAAATTTATTGGATTTTGAATTTAATGAGATTTCTGAATGATACAAAGTTGGGAGTTACCAGTAAAGAAAACGATCAGAATATCCTGTTGGAAGAAGAGGATGACTTTTGAGGACAGGAGTTATAGCAGTTTAATAGTACAGAGTGCAGGACCACATATATGGTAACTAATAAGAATTTCTGCTGGAAGGTGGGGTCTTCTTAGTTGGAAAGGGCATAGCAGCAGAGAGACCTGGTATATTAGTCAATCAGTGAACCATCAAAGAGATATGATCTCAAAAAAGGTAAATATCATTCTGAGATGTGTCAAATGAGGTGTTTACAAGCAAGATAGGAGAGAATTAATTCCATTGTACCATTAACTGGCAATATCTAATCTAAATGCTGTGTACAGCTCTGATTACTCATGGTCAGGAAAGATGAATTCAAACTTGAAGAGGTACAGAAAAAGCCTAGTTGACTGATAAGGGTAATAGAAAGCCTATCTTATCAGAGCATATAGGTGTTGCCTACCAAAACAAAGACGGGGGGGCGGGGGGTGAAAGAGGGAGGGCTACATTAAGGAGGGAGAAGAGTTATTTAGGCTAAAGGACAGTGTTGGCACAAGAATCCCTAAAAAAAGATTATATCATCATATTGTCACATTGGAGTGGATTTAGTGACTGAGGAGGTCCCTTCAAGTCCTGTGTCCAGTGTTGCTGTGTTCTTATTATCCCTGATGGTTTCTTGTTGTCCAGACAACAACAGTTGTCAAGAGTGATCCTTTCCGTCTTTCCTGGTTTAGAAAATACGATCTTTCCTTTTATCTATAAATTATAACATTGTGACCTTCAGTGTGGATTACACAATTGTATCTGGGGCTATACTTGAAGGCATCAGAAATTCAAGTAGTGCAGGTAGGTGTCTAGATACTACAGAACTAAGTACAATAGAAACATCTGTGGTATGCCTGCACATTGAACATAACAGATTTCACACATGGATCTGTGTTTTTTTTTTTCATTTGTGCTAGTTTCAGGTTCACTTTCTCTGTGTGTGTGTGTGTGGTGGGGGGTGTATGGGTGTGTGTGTGTGTGTGTGTGTGTGTGTATTTCTGCACGTTTGTTTTAACCTACAATTCATTTCAGATTTTGGGTTTTGTTACCTCCGAAGAAACTGCCTGCATCCTACTTTTAATTATAAAACTGAGGGGCTGGAGATGACAAGTTCTTAGATATGACTGTCTAAGGGAAGTGGAGAGAAGCATAGTCTCAATGGAGGGCTCTTGATTCTTGGACTCACTTGACTTTGGTCTGACTGAACTCAAATTTAATGATTTTGGGGTTGCAAATCCTATCTAGTTACCAGGTTTTTCTTTGCTGTGCTGATTAAAATGGGGTGGTTTCTATAGTTGGACTGTTAGAAAAGGAGTGAGAAGAAGTTTAAAGACAGTTTGTCAATATAGTTTTAGTTTGTGTATAATATATTTATTTGTGCTGTAAGTGGATGGGCTTGCAAACAGGCTCATTCTGAAGGCCATATCTTAATAAAAGATTGAATTGGTAGCACCTAGCTATCCTCCCACGTATGATCAAATAGAGCACCCAACCTTGTTTTTTCCATTGCATGACATCCCTGGAGTAGCTAACAGCAGTTGCTTACATAGGTAAGTAATATTGAGAAAATATTTTAAAAAATTAAACCAATTAGAAGTTTAAGTCAGCGGAGACTGCTCAGGTGCTTCAGTTAAGCAGAACTCCTGGTGTGAGAAGCAGTCAAGGGGCTGTGCTATTTTCTGTGCTCAGCAACTCGTGCCAGGCAGCTGTGCAGAAGGAGCAGCGAAGCAAAACTCTTGCCTGATTTTAAGACTGGGAACTCTGGAATGCAGAGCAGTCAGGGAGCAGCTGGTGACTGTTC